TATATAGTGTCAATAATGTGACCAATTGGATTTATTATATGGGCCAAAGTTCTACTATGGCTTCCACCTCTCCTTTTGCAAATGCTAACAATATCCTGTTATTTAACAGACTAATTAACTAAATGAAAATTGATCCTCAGACTCTTAAGCCCAACAAGTAACATTAATCCAATTTGTAAAATATGAAAGACATACGTCTTTATGAGTAAGAACTTGAGGTGTCAATATCAGCAAACCTCAGCCTAGTCTCCATCATTTCAAAATGAAAAATCAAATAGGCAAGGCATCAATGAAACAAATACACAGTTTGTGTTTTATGAATTAATTAAACAATGAAACCAGTAGAGAATATTAGCCATTTATGCAATATATGGAAAAAGTTGATTATAAGTAACTATATGCTTATGATGACTCGTAATCTTATAGCTTCAATTTCCAATCAACCACAAAATTGTAGAGAAAGCTGATTCTTGTTGCATCAAGGGAACAAATTAGCAGTTTACATACTGGTTGATTTGTAAAATAATGCAAAACACTCAACAGAGCATCTAAGTTCTAAAATTGTCAGCCAGAATATGCAATAAATGACAGTCAAGTAGTAGTTTAGTAAGTAAATTCCAACCTAATGACCCATTGAGATCGTACAAATTTTAATTTCCAAGCAGGCAAAACATTGCAAAGGGGAGAAAAAAAGTAAACTTCAATTGTTGAACCAAATTCTATCGAGAAAACTGGTTTTTACTGATATCCACTTCTTTCGAGATAAGATACATAATTTATGTTCTTTGCATAAATTGAATTGAACACCTAAAGAAAATTTTGAGTACTAACAGATGTGCAGATGATAAAACATTAAAACAACTTCTTAGTTTTCAAAGTTGTACCTTGGCATGAATTGAATGCAGAGAAAATAATTTCAAACCTTCTCAGTCTGGTATACTTGTTCTGTATCCATTCCATATTGTTCATTTGCATATAGAAACATCTTATCAGCCATCATTTTCAATCTTTATTGCACATTAGCTAGTTGAAGTGAAGAAGAGTGTTGTTGTTTCATGACTATTACACCCTTTCCACCCATCTCTATACCAACAATAATATGCATGCCAAACTTTTCAATGAACGTCAAAGAAAAATATGAACTTATAACAAAGGAGAAACCTTAGAAAAACAATACATTTTAAAATATAACACAAAGGTAGCAAATGGTATCATGGATCCATCCAATTATATTTAATAGTAGAACTCAACCACCTTTATCTCAAAATTTATAAGGCTTCTTTGTAAATAATATATTCTTATATAAAATTTTAGATGATTAACAACGTAAAGAGTAGAAGGAAACAGTTTTTCATGTCCACATAATTTTTTGAAAATGTAGTAACAATCAGAATTATATGTATCATATTTGAAGGATGTATGACAGCAGCAGGAGGCTTGAATTTAGTTAGCGGACCTCGTACTCCTTCGCTGAGAAGATATATTCTCAAAGAAAGGTACACAAATTGGGCAAGCCATTGCAAAGGTGTTCAAGCTTTCTTAGTA